ACACACACACACACACACACCTTACACACACACACGGGTTATTCAGGGATGATTCACAGGATTTGAATGGGACTACAATGAAATTTGGGTCCAAGTGGCAGTTCATGAACCGTGGGTTCACGTGAGTTTGTCTCACAGAGAGCCGCGCTGGTTGCAGTACTTGTATTGGCCAGAAGGTGGAGACATGCACATACTTTAACATAGAGGGCTCCACCGGGCTTGCCAGTCTAACTGGTACAGTCCTTTGCCCACATGTATCAGATTACTGTGTCAACTGTTTACTTACTGTAGCAGACACATTCATATTGCACTCCTGACAGACAAAAGCAAAACACAACATCCCCGCGCTGTGTCCTTCTGAGGAAAAGAAAAAGAGAGCGAGAGGAAGATAAGATTTCGTTCTTCATCCATTCAGTGGAAAAAGGGTTTACACTTAAGGCACCGTGTCCTTTGTCTTATTATTGTGATTTCTCCGGATCTCTCTGCGTAAATTAAATATTTATTTCTGCTCCAGAGTTTACTTTAATTGGTCAAACGCTAATGCATAAGACCTTCCACTGAATGGAAAAAAGCAGTGGAAAACAGTGCTATAAATACCTCTTTTACAGTGACCTAACATGGGGTTAAATGAGTCAAACCAGGCTACACATGAGTCATGACAGAATAAAAATAGTTCTCCATGATGTTACGCTAACAGAAAGATATTTCTATACAAATACACGCTTCAGATCTTCAAGTAATGGAACACATTGCCACAATATTAAATGCACATAAATACCAATATTCTTTTGCAATAACTGCATCATCAAATCCAAGCACCCACAACAAGACACCAGCTCACTGCCTCCAGCTAGAGACAATTCAACTGTGAACAAATGTCTATATGAGTTACAGCTATCATGCCAGACAAGTGTGCAAATACCGTACATATTACACCCCTTTTACTGCAATATGCTTCAACACTAACAAACAGTGTCTGGCTGTTGTGCCCTTGTAAGGCCATTCAGTGAGTAACAAGAAAATATCCCCCATTAGATGTGCTGATTAGCAGGGATTGAGTTTTTAAACGACTCTACTTGTTCACTGGCTCCGTCTTTATTGTGCAGATTAAATATACTATAGAGCAGGTCTGTTGCAAGTCATTTGGGCTGGACACTGCCTCTGGGGGTGTGGCTGAGATCCCAGGAAGAGAGAGGCTGCGGGTTCAATCGGACCCTATTTACATCATTAACATGCAATCCCTATCCGTACACAGGGCTGCTCAATTCAAACATGATGGTCTGCAATATTAATGTTTAAAAGGCATTTCTGCATAGTGTTACTAGTGGCAGAAAACTGCACAGGGTCCCTTTAATGCCAGGTGTAAAAGGGCATGGGTCCTTACATCTGAACCCAGTTTCAACAATGTTGTCTGCAGCCTACACAGCTAGAACAGAGTATCATCCTTTGGGGGGGCGTTCCTTTAAGAATAAATGATGCATTTCATGTATACACACACGTCTGAGTGTTTAGGGTCAAGTTTAAGGTCAACTTTGCTCTTTAGTCAAGTGCACTTCGCTGAAATACAGCGTGTGTACGTCCTTTTCCTCGAGTTTGAGGCGAGTTTGTGCGTGAGCAAGCTCGCCCCTGAGACTGGGTGCACTTGGAAGACGGCACTAGCTGTTTATAATGAGTTAATGGGAAGGGCGACCTAGTATGTCTGAAATGTAAACTCCAGCAGCAGCTAGCAGCAGCTCTACAGATGCTGTAAAAACACCGGCACACAAGACACCCTCTCCCCCCTCTGGGAGCATTTACATCTTTTGCATCTTCAAACAGTTAGAAGCAGTTTCATTTGGAGTGTAAAAAAATCAAACAAAAAAAGCCACCTACCATCCTTCCTCTGGCTGACTGGCAGCAGGTTGGGGGCGGGCTGCAGGGACAACTCTTGCAGCTCATTGGCCACGGCTTCACTCTGAGGGCTGCTGAGGATGAAGACACCTGCATCTGGTCGCTCCCCAAAATAGGTCTCCATGGTTACCGGGGGATTCAGAGTGAGGCTGGCAGACTGACCTAGGAAGTGAAGAAACACATGAGGCCTCTCTCTCTCTCTCTCTCTCTCTCTCTCTCTCTCTCACACACACACACAGATACACACTTCTCCTCTTCTAAATAGGAAACAGTGTGTATTGGACAAATATCTTAACAAAGTTAAGATAGTTATAAATATAATTATCTTTCCAAGATAATCAATATTCTATATAATATTTCTCAGTATCTGATTAATGTCTATATCCCTCTATGATTTACTAACAGCGTGTGAGTTGGTCACTGCATAGATATTAAGAGTGAATAAAAGAGGACTCTTTTATTAGTGCCATACAAAGTGTGTTGATGTAGTAATGTTATGCAGCTTGTATAAGAGTTCAATCACATCTTTTGTCATCTCTATTTATCTAAGGACAGGAAAAAAGGATCACATGCGTTTTGTCAAATAAAGTACTCCCTAACATTTGTTCAGTTGGTTGGAAACACACACACACACACACACACACACACACACAACAAGGTTTGGCTCCTGAAAGCTGCCAAAAACGATGATAAACTGAGCTAAAGCCACTTTGTCATCACTATATCTCGCGAAAAACTTCAACATGCCATTAATGTCAAACATGAAATATTATGAGCTGGATAATACTCCGTTTGGCTCGAACTCATTTATGGAAAGAAACGCAGATTATTTCTTTCTCAGTTTCTCATTCTCAAAAAGGGAAGTCTTCCAACCTTTAGCTGACAAACCTGGATTCTGTCGGTTAAAATGACGACTTGAACTTGAACAGAGAATGAGTCACCACACACAACTCTGACACCCAAACAAAAGAAAAGAAGAAGATTTTGCACCTAAATTAGAGCAATGCTCATAAATACAATGGCTGCAAAGAGTCACGATCATGTTACAGTTTCTTTTTTTTTACCAATTTTGGATTCGACCTGAGAGAGAGCTCGTGTCAGCTCATTACCTCGAGGAAATATCGTCTTCCTACAACGTTGCTTCAAAATGTAGCTAATTGTCCAACAAAAAAAAACACTTGAAGAGGCAGCATCATTAAACCGGTGCAGCTGTTATTTTCGTCCCACCAAAAGCAGCACTGTGACTCACTTCACTGGCTTAATGTAGCTCCAGAATATCCCGGCGTGTTTGTGTTGGAATGTAAACAATGCATCGAGTGCACGCTCTTCACCCTGTTCAGTCAATTAAAAACATTTCCAAATAAAAGTTCTCCCTGTAACATTTGATTTTGTAGTAGTTGCATAATTCAGTTTAAAGAGTATTTTTTGTCTTATTCTAAGACTGTGTATGTTTTTAAAAGACCGGACGTAAGAAGAATGTAAAGCAATAAAGACATTAAGTGGATAGCTTTACTCAGATTTACAGCCAGAGTTTGGGATTAACCATTTTAACAAAGAGTAGTGAACACACCGAGTTTCATTTTTGTTGTTGATTTAAACTGTCAATGATAATAAAGACAGTCTTCCACAGTTTGTTGTTCAATAACTAACGTAAAAATGAGGCCCAGCAGCAGCAGCAGCTGCTGTCAACAAGGACTTGACAGTCTGCGGTCCACACGCAAAGCGAGCATGCAACAGCGCTGCATTACGCACGCAGTGCAGTCACTTGTGTTGTGAATACGTACCGTGGCACTATCTTTGTTCCTGCATGGTTCCCATGTTATTGCCTGCTTCAAACGGATTACAAAACAAAAGACTAGCGGAGTTTTGGGCTAGTCCGGGGAGGCTGACAAGTTTGTGCGATACACTTTGTGAAGTCAACCAGGGTGGGACAAAATATAATTTCCTGTTAAAAAACTTTCAAAATACAACTCTTATTGTCTACCATAACAGGAAGTGAAACTTTGAGATAATGCTCACAATTGTTTTGAAGAAACACCGCTTAACCTCCGGTGTTGTCACGCAGCATCACGAGAGACTTCCTCCGGGGGGCGCAGAGCCCACGCGCCGCGACAAAATTCCCCGTGGACGCGAGACCGACCAGACAGACAGTCTCATATGTCAGTTGTCTGCTTATTCTATACAGTCCATGGTTGTCTGTCCGTAGCACTTATCTCGTGATGAAAGTGAAGCGGTCACACGGATATAAAGGGTTAGTCCTTTTTATTTCGGTGGGAGTGGCACCTCCTCTTGGATCGACAGTGAAAGGTTTACCTAACACTCACCTGTCCTGATAAGAGGATGCACCCTTACGACGTTTAGTCTCTTACTTAAAATACAAATATATTGCATTGTTTGGGTGCCAACATGCGTCAGCACTGATACACTAGGGAGCCCATGGGATTTAAGACATATAAATAAAATAAATACATTTGCCATTATGTACAGCTTTGACATTACTTGACTTCGTAGGTTGTTAGTGTAAATTAAGTTTATTTATATAGCACCTTTCCAAAGCAGACGTCACAAGACATAAAGCAGAAGTATAATACAAATCGTAGATAGAAAAATTAAATAGCCTAAAGATGAAAATATATTGGTGTTTTTCAATACAGCAGCCAGGTGGTGAAAGGTTCAACAAATTAAAGGGAGAGGGAGAAATCCCCCTGAGCATCATCTTGACATTTTATCAAATGTGTATGTATGTGTGTGTATGGTCAAAAAATGAGCTGTGAGGGCCCCAAACCAAACCCCCATTTCTCCCACTCTGCCCACACTTGGTGTGTTGGATTACGACCTGGCTCCAGATATCCTACGTGGTAATTAATTTATGCAGTTGAGAAATGTAAGAAGAAGTCATAAAATATCTGAACCTTATTTGGAGTCATGACATCTCGCATATTTGGAATCAATATTCAAGAAACTATTATAAATATTCTTCCCCTTCTTGCTATGGTCAAAAAGCAACCACGAGAGGGCGACAAAATCAACAACACAGGCGCGTCGGCGACCAGGGGGGAACCATTCTTTCGGTCGCAGAACTGGAGGCCAATATTTAAGACGGACCAACATGGCGGCAAAACAAAGCTAATGCTAAACAAGTGAAACGAACGTGTGTAATAAACCTGTAATTCACTATTTTTTTTTTCTCACGTGGGAATGTTCACACTACATCGAGAGACATCCATTTTCGGTTTGTTCTGACAACACATTCATTAATGTTAATGTTACAGTAAAGTTAGAATCAAGATAATCTGACAACGGACATAAACATTAGCTAATTCACCGCTAGCTTAACCGTTCATCATGTGGGGTGAAATCGATCCTCCAGTTAAAACACGACCGAGTTCGTGTGAGAGTGAAGACGAGAGTGATTCACCGGAAGAACCCGTGACACTGTCCCAAATATGTGACTTTAAACGCCCCACGGAGGCCCAGCAGCCGCGACAAGAAACACGGGTGAGACCACCATCATCAGCGGCCACAACTTAACCGCTGTCTCTGCTGTGTGTACAATGCAAAACATTTGCTGATTGTGTGTCTGCTTGTCACAAAGTACGTGAGCCAGGCTGAGACGATCTGTGTGAATGCCATGGTGGACGCCATAGCCATGAGTGGAAGCCGAGTGAAGAGCCAGCAGAAAGGAGATGCTGAACTGACCCTGAAGGAGCGCAGAGAGGAGCTGCTGCATCAGTACAGGAGCAGACCGCTGGTGTTCCTGGAGAGGTACCATGTACGTGTAACACAGCTCAATATGTGTATGTGTTTATTTACCCACACACTGGTGTGTGTGTGTGTGTGAGATCCGGGCAGCAGCTGATCAAAGTACTTTGACCCACCTCCCCTATATCTAGGTCTGCCTCAAGCCCCAGAACCTGTCAGCGTTTGCCCACGTCCTCTCAGATCCACGTGTTCTTCACTACAGCGATGTGATACAGAGACGGGCTGCGGCGCTCACCAACAGGACAAGGGTTCGAAACCAGCGCTACGCCGCCCTCAGGGCCCTGCAGAGGGGTACGGGCTTTATTTTTGTCAACAAACAAACAAAGAATATATTGATTCATACCAGTTAAGACTTCTTTAGTACAAGAATTGTCCAGACTCAATAAGACCGATGACTCATTTTCCCTATCAACTGTGCCTCAACCCTCTCTTCCTCTGCCCTGCCTCCCTTTCTAGAGGGTGAGTATTTCAGTGAGGAGCAGATGAGGATAAGGGAGCCGCTGTTGTATGAACAATATATCGGCCAGTACCTGACTGATGAGGAGGTGAGAGCCTGATGCCGTGCCAGAGCTGTCATAGCTCCATTTCATAATGTGCAGTTCAGTTTAGGCAGTTTGTGTTTGTTTGTTTTTAAGTAACTTCTGAATGACGTATATGTTTTAGGTGCTGGAGCGCTCCCAGGAGGCCATGCAGGACGATGCACAGGTGGGACCAGGGGCGCCAGCGGGAGGCACAGGAGGGCTCGCCCACCTCCTCCTCAGCTCCTACCAGGAGCGTCTCATCCAGAATCGCCTGCAGGAGGAGCAGGAGAGAGAGGACGGAGCACGGGAGGAGGAGGATGAGGACGATGGTGAGAGAGGCTGAAGTTGTACAATAAACGTAGCTTCTGTGCTCTTACGGTTCTGTCAGTCAGCATGCGTCTCTCTCTCTCTCTCTCTGTATTTCTACTGCAGGCTATACTTTCCAGCAGAAGCAATGGCAGCCCACCCCAGAGGAGAAGGCCCTGTTCAGGGAGGAGTTCATCAGTCAGATGCACCAGCGCTTCCTAGACGGCAAAGACAAGGATTTCAACTACAGGTCAGCCACACCACCACTTAATGGGCATTCATACGATGTAAAGGCTGCATTTGTGTTACACAGACATGGAACAGTGTGTCATCACGGATATAAATATCTACTGAATAGAAGAAAAAAAATTGGATTTATTCTAATGAAACAGAGAGATATTTGATAATCTATGTAAATAACTGCTGAGTGACAACGTTTCGAGAGCTTTTGAATACAACTCTGAATGCCTTCTAGAGATGACAGTGGCACAGAAAAACATGAGATTTGTAGCTATTAAGGTGTTTATAACATTGAGATCAAATGTGTACTTAAACAGTGAGTATTTTTCTATTATTAATGCCAATTCTCAAATGTAAACACATTGCAAATGCTGGTGTCCTGATCACTCAAGCCTGCAAGTAAAGTAATAAAGGGACAACATAGTTGCTAACTAATAGTGAATTAATGTTAAAGTGGTCAACAGAAAAAGTGACTGGATGTCACCATACGCTTTGTGTTGCTTTGAAAGACTGCATCGTAAGTGTTCGTGTGTCCATTACAGTGAGGTGGACGAGAACCCAGACTACGACAACTTGGACATAGTCAGCAGAGATGCGGAGGATAAATACTTTGATGAAGATGACGAAGAGGAGGAGGAAGAAGAGGAGATGGAAAATGATGATGATGAAGGAGAAAATATGACGGAATAGCGTCTGTAGTAGAAGTAACAACTCACTGCTTTGATTGATCTGTAAATACAAATGTACAAATTAAGGATATGTATTCTATTTGTTTTTTCATTTTACACATTGAACCAATGCAAACACAGCTGGTTATAAATATTGTTTCGGAGTCTTTTGCAAATGTAAATATAGAGCCCTTTAGTTACCCTATGACTGACGGTTTACTATTCACCTTATTTACGTCATGAACAAATCAAATGAAAAGCAACATTAGAACAAGGAACAAGGACCCAATTACCTTACAAGAGGAGATCAAGTGTTGGCTGACATATATTATCATAAAAAACAGAAAATAAATGTACTTCTTTTATATTTAGTTTTTAGGTCAATGTGTGAGATCTGCGTCTCCAAAAGCTGAGACGAGCACATTTGAAGTTACAAATGTAGTCATGTCTCCGATAAGTCAAGTTTTCTGGCTGACTTTTCAGCTTCATCGATAATAAAATGCTATTTCACAAACTACACTTCTGGTTTGTACTTCTTTGATCATGTGGTTACATATTTACATTCATTCTATGGCTGGTACACGGTACTATCATCTTCTGTCACAATGACAGAGGCCATGTTTTGAGAATTTAAGAGTTCAAGTTTACATCTGGGTCCATATTCATCAAGTGGCCCGGAACCCTGACAGGGACTCATTTTTGCTTTCACTTTTAAAAAACGTTTTTAAAAAAGCCTCTTCTAGCCAGATTTTGGGAGAACTGCACAGCTGATCTGACTTGACTGCATGGCCGACCATTGCCTTGCAGCTGCCCAACAATAATAATTATGACCAATTAATGCAGTGTTGAGGTTGTCAGTGGGATCACTGGTTGATCCAATGTCTCCGGTTTTAGTCAAGATTTCAGGTTTGATATCTGGCGACGAGGTAGCAGATAAAGGTCTCGCATCAACTGTCTGCTGACAAATAAGACCGAGGTTACAGAACAGAATCACTAGAATTAAAATGTTAATACTGTTAAAGCCTTTCTTGATTGTAGTCGGTGAAATTATTAACAAAGAGCACACGCGGACACACATCTTGAGATTAAAATTTATTGAAGAAGCAGCATCCCTCCACAAATTAATTCGACCTATTCCCGGTCTCATTTCACGTGGGCAGTATTATGACGTTCACACCCCCGAGCTGAGCTAAATTGTCATACAGTAGCTATTATACATACACGTTGATGACTGGAAGACTTCAATCTTATCACCAGAACTATTGACAGTTGATCACAAGGCAGCGGCTTACCTCTGTGCTGTCCCTCAACAGAGGAAAAAAAGAAACCAAACAAAGTGGAGCACACTCCCACTACAATACTGAATCACCACGATGAGGTTCAGCTGACTGTGGAGCTCAGCCAGCAAGACATTCTGATGAAGCTGCCACCAGAGGGCACCACGTCACATTTACAGTCACTTTGACAAAACAAACCGAATAATTGCTGAAAGAAATCATTGCATTTTTAACTTAGACTTATTGATGATAACATTTTTACTAGCAAGTTGTACAGTTGTGTTACATGACAGTAGATTGAGTCTGAATCACAGGAGAGGGAGAAATCCATCAAATCAAAAACATGTTTTTTTCTGTTTCTAGAATTTGTAATCAAATTCATTCCTACGCCTATTGAATTTTCTTAGAAAGCCATGGTATTTTCCCTGAAATAGACAGGCGACAAATAGATTTCTTGAAGAAAATCAAAATGACAATCACAATTCCCACCAGAAGGGTCACACTTGGCAACTGAAGAGCCAAAGCGACCAGTTCTATTCCTCCCAGGAAGAGGATGACTATCAGAATGTAGGAGGACATGCGGATGTAATTCTCTGCGTCCACTCTTGATTTTTCCTCCTCTTTCCTCCACAGCTCCTTCTTCTTCATCTCCAGCTCTTCCCCCTTGAAATGCTCCAGCAGCCGTCCCTCCTTACGACCGATCTCAGTGCTTCCCTCCACCAGGAGGCTCTCCTGTTTTTCCCTAATCCTCCTCTCCGGTTTGGGATACAGGGCCGATTGGTAATGGCCCCCTCCATTCAGGGACACCAGGGTCTGGATCTTTGCCACGAAGCTCGTCACCTGGTTCTGGTCCTCTGGGGTCTTGTTGTCGAAGACGTGGAAGCCGCCGCTGCACTTGCGTATGAAGTTGCGGAGGTCGTCATCGCTCTCTTTGATGACGTCGTTTATCGTTTTCCCACCCAAGCGATCCCCATGCGTGAACAGCACGATGGTGTAGTCCCACACTCTGGGGCCAAACATTGCTTCGATCAGTTTGTTGGTATCCTGATCTTCCTGCGTCATCCTTCCTACAGGGAGTGCTAGCACAAAGACGTGAGGTCCTGGTTCCTGGAGTTTGACGCACTTCAGAATATCTCGCATTACCACCTCCTTGTTGCGGTACGTCTCAAAAAGGCCCGGTGTGTCAATCACAGAGACGGGCACATCTCGAGCTCCCCTGGTCGCAGCGACAGACACGTCCTTGACCGTCCCGCTCTCCTTCTCACAGTACTTAGTGACCCTCTTCAGCTTCATGTCCGATACAAACGCCTCTCGCCCGAGGATGGTGTTGCCACTTGAGCTCTTGCCGACCCCGCTCTTCCCAAGAAGCATGATTCTCAGGGGCTCTGTGAATTCAACAGACAGAAGACATTTTACTACACAACGCACAGTAAAAGGTGGTCGTTCTCATTTCTCACATTTGCTTGGATGTCCATGTATTATGGTGAACATTTTAGCCTGACCAACGCAGGATCTTTGAGGCTAACACTGAGAGGTAGTGGGGTGTTTGAAAACTCTATATATCGGGCGATAGTCATATAAATATTACAAACAATCTTGATGTGAATCATGGGAGCCAGAAGTAGCAACTTTACTTTCATTTTTAAGTGTCAAATCACTGTATCCCCACAAATATTGCCCTCATTAAAAAACCTTTCAATAATACCCGTCCAGCCGGTGCATGTCTGGACCAGAGGGTGTCAGAAGTGTTTTTAACTTGCACGTCCCATGCATGCAGTGCTGGACTGAGTTTTATGAAGATAATGCAAAGATATATCGGCAATTGTTTTGTGGTGAAGTTTGAGAAATCAAACCATGAAGATTTAGGAGAGCAGTCAGATTAGTCAGCATTACGTGTTATTAAAACGACTGCTTTTTGTTTTAAAGGATGCTAGAATGTGGTGTGACCGGCTACAAAGATGGAATGCAGTGAAGACAGATATGCATGCTGTAGTAAAATTCCAAGAGGATTTTTTGTACGTCCCATCACGATCCACATACCTACCAAATTTCATACAGCTAGGTGAAACCCAATGTTGGGGGCTACTCAATAGGGGGCGCTATCGAGACAATATTTCATACTTCGCAGCTGGACACCCCAATCAGACCAATCAATTTTCGCAAATTCTGGTTTGCGTGCCAAATTTCAAAAGTTTTCCAGTATCCCAAGCACCTCCTTTTTGCGATGAAAGACACACGATAATAAAAAGACACGCGATAATAATAATAATAATAATACACATTAGAACAATAGGTCCTCCGCTCCGACTACGTCGGTGCTCGGGCCCTAATAATACCAGCAAAGAGCAAATAAGATGACAATACTTGTTTGCTGTTAAGTGTAATTGAGATAAGAAATCAAGGACAATACGTGACAGCACGTGCCTTTTACTCAGTTTGCCTTCGGAGTTGCTTCAGTCTTGGAAAGACAGAAATAAAAAGCTCAGCTAACCTCTCGGTCTAATCCAGACCTGCCTGCAGCTGCTCAACATGCAGAGAGCTGTTAGGAAAGTCAGACATGTGACTAAAAACTCCTGTGATGAGAAACAAAGTGATGGCTTGTCCCGTGGAACTGAAGTAAAATCCTTTTTAAATGGAGTTCAGTTCATTTCAAATCATTTGGCACTTCTCTTTATGGGCAAACAAAGAACAACTAAAAGATTTGAGAAATAATATTTAATTTCTATACTTACGTTCCTCCTTCTGCTCTGCATCAGGCATGTTAGGGCTGCTCTCACTCAAACTGTCAACCGACATTATGCCTGTATAATGTCAGCTTTCACAGCGCTTTCTGGTAAACTGTGTCTGAGAAGAGGGCCTGTTATTGGTTTCTTTAGTTCAGGTCGGTCCAGTTTTCTCCAGCCGCTGCCGAGGAGAAAGAAAGTAAAAGTAAGAGGAAATGTAATGAGGGCAGGACACTAAACTAACTAAAGTTTTAGAGGTTATGTAAAACCTGTAAAACTAGAAACTGGCTGGAAACTGTTCAATGACCTACAAAAGCAAAGTACGACAGTAAAACTTGCATCTACAGTGCTTTCATGGTACACTAACATGATTAAACCTTTCTTTTTTATTGGTTTATTGATGGAAACCAAATAAAAGTCACATGCTGTGTGTGTGTATACAGTTGACTATGGAATAAACTTGAATTTGTTGGTGAACTCTGAGGGTCACGTGGTCAACGACAGGAAAACAATTTCAATTCATAGTGACATAAGTAGTACTTTGTAGGAAAACTTCCAACAAAACAAAAATCGGTTGGTAGATAAACTGTGCGGCAAAATGTCCACTAGAGACTAGAGGTCCATGAAAAGCCTTCGAGAGATCCACAGCGGGTAGACAGGACCTTCTGCCTTTAGGATAGAGTCGCAGTCTCTCAAGTCTATCTATAAACAACATGGCTACGTGTTCATTGGTTGTAGCTGTTCCTCCTGCCTGTACTTGGCCACACCTTCTAGTGAAGTGATGGGAATCAAGATCCACAGTACTCGGTTTGCACAATCATGCATTATAGAGTTCATCCGAAGCCTAAATGGGAGGGAGATTTTATACTAAAGACTATAACTTAGTAGGATATTTGATTTTTCAAAAACAAACTGCTAAAGCTTCATACTAGCTTCTGCCTGACTTTATAATGTATTTTTGGACAGAACATGCACTATGGATTTTGCCCCCAATCAGTTATCACACATGGGAATAGCATTAGGGAGACACGTCTTGTTGGCCCGTATGGAGAGGAGGAATTATTGCAGAGACCAAAAACTGTTTCAATGTCCATCAGGATGCCCCGGTATTGACTCTAAATTAAGACTTGAGACAATGTGAACCTATATTTATCATTATCACTGCACGACAAAACTTCTGAAATCAACCGAAGGTTCAAAAAGGTCGTTTTTATTTGATGTTAGTGAAGAAAACTGTAATGCGCTAAAATATTAAGCACCCCATTTCACTTTATGCTTAATGTAGAAAAGAGAGCAGCTTGTGTGATTTTTATAAAGTTTCATTTACACTATAATCAGGAGAGTGGAACCCTTTTCAGTAGCATTATGGAACTCAGAGGTGGGGGGGGGGGGGGGGGGGGCACTACATGTTCAGAGGATTAGGAAATTTTAATAAGATCCTGCTTTGCCCCTCCGTCACTTCCGCTCAGCCAGTCTCTGCAGGAGGGCAATGACTGTGTCCTGCTTGGAGGAGAACAGCTCCAGGGCCGTGGCTATCCTGCCGAGGGACTCGGCCATCCGCACCTCCCTCCTCTCGCGCCTCTTCTCTCTGGCCTCCACCCTGCGGCGAGCCACCCGATCCAGGTAGGCCTGCTCCTCCTGCCGCTTCAGGACCTCCTGGGACGACGTGGCGTCCCCTTTCCGGTTCTGTCCTTCGCTCCCCGACAGGGATGTCGCAGACAACGAGGTGGAAGTGGAGGAGGTGAGAGAGGAGGAAGTAGGCGGGAAAGAGGGGGAGGAGGAGAGGCCGAGGATATTGTTACTGTTGCTCAGCGGCGCCCTGCCGAGGCGAAAGGGTACGGCGCCTGGCGAGAACGACGGAGCTTTGCGGCCTGCGTAGGGCGACGCGTTGAGGTCGGCGTTGCTCTTCGGGCCAAGCGAAGGGAGAGTAGAACCTGTCCCTGTGAAGCAAGGTGAGGAGATGAAAGATGGAGATGGCACAATGGTGGCTGAGTGAATACTGGTTGCAACAACATCGCTGTTGAGGACGATCAGGGGCTTGAGCTCTGGAGCATTCGTCGGGCTGACGGTCGCCGTGGTCATTGAGCTAATGACAGGAGCGCTGCTGATGACTTGACTGCCGGTGGCCCGGTGACCCGCTGACTCCGCCCCACCAGTCGAAGCAAAGTCCCCATTAGGGCGGATGATGGTGGTGGGCTGCGGGAACTGCGGTTTTGCGGCGATCTTTGCCAGAGGAGCGGGCAGCGCGGAAACTTTGTGTCTCTTGTTGTGGACGATCTGAGTGCCAACGGTGTCGCAGAGTGTTGCGTCCATCAGCTAGAGTGAGAGGAGACCGACACAAAGAGATGGAGAGAGGAAACAAACAACCCAAGTTATTTGCAGCAGCCAGATCAGATGATCTCTCAGCATTAGCATCGCGCCTGGAGCTCCACTATCCGACTTTTTAAAGACGGGCAGGACAGGCCTACTAAGCTAGGATTGCACAGCTGCTGCCATTGTACATTACATTACAGTCATTTAGCGGACGCTTTTATGCAAAGCGACTTACAATTCAGATTCTATCCTATCCTATAGATATCTATATACACCGTAGGCACAGCTACAGGAGCAATTTTGTGGTTAAGTGCCTTGCTCAAGGACACATCGACATGCGACTAGCAAAGGCGGGGATCGAACCGCCAATCCTCTGATTGAAGGACGGCCCTGCTCTCCACTTAGCCACAGTCGTCCGTTGTAGGACGGTGGTTTAGCAAACGGTCAAATACTTTTGTCTTTCAGGTGAAGTATACCTGGCAAACTCATAAAAACTCCCGAACTCATGAAAAAAAACAACACAGCGAACAACGTGGGTGAACTTGGTTTGGGGTTGGAACTTTGTCGCTGGGTCAGAAACTATAAGAGGTGTCTGGTGGTTTTCCCTGTGTGGAAAAAAAACAGTTCTGGAAGGAAACACTCACATCGAAGAACTCCCACGATGTTTTAGCGTGTCCCGTCTCCCGGCTGCGGTCTTTAACCCTCTTGTATGTGACGATGAGGTTGTTCCACTTGCGGCGGATCTTCTCAACAGGAAGCAAGTGGCCCTTGGAGGCCATCTCCTCCTGGACGCTCTGGAAGAGCTGCGAGCGCTCCCGGGTCTCGTACAGGCCCCAGCGGCGCCCGACGGCCTCGATCAGACACAACACGGCTTTGGAGGAGAAATCGGAGCTGGAGGGGAGCGTCTTCTCTGAGGGGGCGGGTGGCATCGCTGAAGCTAGAGGACACGACACAGGCGACTTATTATTCCTCATATGTAAACGGTTTTGAAGGAGATATAGTCAGGGTTCGTACAGTCAGGAAAAATCTGGAAAAGTCATGGATTTTGAAAGTAGAAATTCCAGGCCTGGAGACCCAGAGGGTTTTGGAAAAGTCATGGAAATTAGCTTCACACTTCCTGTATAAGAGAGGATATGTGGTTCTTTAAGATCTACAGCATATTGGTTAAACTAGACTGGAATGTTTGGGAAGATCAGTCACGTCATTTGAAGTTATGTTGTTGTCTGCGTCGGGTAACGTCAAGACTCCGACCTTTTATTTCCCACGTATACACAGACGTTTCAGAGAACGCATTTGTCTCAATGGCCTGGAAAAGTCTTGGAAAAATATTGGTAAAAATGTGCATGAACCCTGTCTACTGAAATATATTTAAAGGGCCCATGAACATATTTTCTCAACCAGCATCTTTCTATTAGCTCTATTAATTCATTAATGTCTGCCAAAGTTAGAACTGTTTTCAATTGTTTCGAAACTGATTTTCTGTTTTTCCTTTGTTCTTCTCGCTGGTCTGATGTGGGCGGGAAAAGATGATGTCACATACTCCTGTGCTCCAATCAGGATAGGCAACATTTGCAGACAGAGGACAGTTGTTGGGAGTTGTTCCTTGAGCATTAAAACATGTGAATATAAAACAGCGTAAGCTGATTTTAAACTTTGCTGTTGTTTATTTGGTCATGGATATTTATTGTTGTGGAATTTTTTAAAAAGATTTTAAACCCAGTTTCAAGAGGCTTTAACATGAAATACAATGGAAAAATTTGTATACGCTTTCAGAAAGCTCCAATTTATGAAAGTTTTTGGAATCTGAAAACCATCATTTAAGAGCTTGAGAACTAATTAAAAAATAAAAAACTCACTGCCACTGAATTTTATTTCCACAAGTTTTAGCCAAACTGAAAAAAGGTTTTCTATCAGCATCTTTAGGTTTGTTAACACAACAAAGGCAATGTGTGAGAAATTCAGAATCTATAGACTCTGTATTGTGACAACAATCACAACAGTAAGTGTGATCCACTCACCTGGAGCGATCTTCAGGTACGTTTTTCCATCCTCTGTTGTGGTGAAGAAGCGGTCTGTACTCACAGGATCTGATGGTGGGGACACATATAAGTGGTACACATTGTGTTAAAAGATGTTTTAAAAAGATGGCGCATGCTGATCTCAATATTAGATAGAAATGAACCCCCAAAATAAAATAATTTAATAATAAACCAGCTGATGTGTGCACTCACACAGCAACACGGGAGTAGCTGTGGTGCCAGCCAGCTGCTCTGCAGTCGGATCCACTCCTCCTCCTCTGCATGCGGTATCTCCGCAGGGCGCAGGCGACTCTCGGCTGCCCACAACCAGCGCAGATGTCTTCTCGTCGACCGCTTCGGTCTTCACATGCATTGTCGCGACGTCGCTGCAGCCTCCTTGCAGGTTCCCCTCCATGGCCGACACGGGAACAGACAGCAGCAGAGAGGCCGTTTTGTCTGCGCAGGCGTTGAATCGGGAGAAAGTTTGCAGCTCGCGGGTCTCGGTCGGTGATGGTGTTCAGCCCCGGTGTGCGCTGCTAACGTCATGACTACCCCACGCGCGCGCCGGGTTAGTTAGGTGCGTGACGGACAGACGCCACATCCCCCGTGTGTTTTTCACGAGGGGAAGAGAAATGGCTGCGCTGTCCACCTCGGCCGACGGATGCGCAGGGCGGCTGCGCAGCTCTCCGCACAGATTTGCTGCTGGCAACTGTGCCAGTGACGTCAGCTGGCCGCAGATACCATACTATGGCGAATGCAGTAAACAGTAAAAGCTTTAGAATTAGATTATCATCAGGATTTAACCTCCATCATGTCATGACTTATAAAAGAGGAGCCATTCTGTCAGTTTAACAGCAAATGTGTATTTCTAATACGAATTAAAAGTTTAGGTTTCATCTTCACATTTCACCTTTAAGAGGCAGGTTTATGGAAAGAAGACATGTCATTGAAGATGTACACAAGCTACTATTTTTATTTTAAAAACAGAAATCCACAAGCCACAGATTAGAGATCGAGACAGAAAGAGAAAGTGCAAATTAATTGCACTTTAAGTACTGTGCAGCGACAATGTTGCATGATGCAAACTGCTTCAGACAAACGCAAAGTCAAATACTGACTTTTACAATACATTCAGTTTGAAACCCTCCTCACACGTGGCATAACACCATAATAAAAAATAAATTAAAAGAAACATGTCAATAAAAAGAATGTTGAGAACAACACACAGGGAAAATACTTGTTATGTGTGCTGTTTTAATCTTGCTCTGTAAAGCACTTTGGCTGCATGATCGTATGGAAGGTGTTGAAATGTTAAACATTCGGTTATTTTATGAGTAATGACAATAAATAGTGAAGAATCTATTTTTAATGCATTGTAGTAGAATTATAGATTGAAACGTGTTGTCATAATTCAAGTAAAAGTCCCTTGCATTCTCTTGATTAGGAATCATTTCTTTCGGGATATTTCAACCACATAGGAGGGTTATATTTAAAAAGATAGGTACCACAGGCATATTTACACATGCTTAACCTTTTCCCAGCCGCTTCTGAGTTTGACAACAGAACACTGCTGATCTGTCACCAGCCTATTCACTGATGTTGAGCACGCTCTTAAATTCTCTGTCAAATAACTCCTTCAGTCTGTTGCCCCTGGCGAGGAATTCAGCATTGTCCTGCAAGAGAACATAACAGACAGTTGTCACTATAAAATGTCCAGAAAGATTCATCTTAACTTTTTAACTGATGAAAGCTCCTGACCCTGCATGTCATCTAAAGCAGCGGTCCCCAACCTTTTTTGCACCACGGACCGGTTTCATGTAAGACAATATTTTCACGGACCGGCCTTCAAGGTGTGGCGGAAAAACACGACGAAATAAAATGATACGATCGGCATGAAAACAAATATAAAATGCATAAATAAACACAACTCACAATAACGCTGAATCAGTGGGAGCCCTGAGCTTGTTTCTCTGCAACGAGACGGTCCCATCTGGGGGTAACGGGAGACAATGACACCCGAAGTGTGTTCCTGATGTCCAGTCGACTCCGTAAGTTAGTTTTGATTGCCGTCACTGCAGAACATCCCGCTTCACAAAGAGGATGTTGGAAATGGAAGCAGGGTTTTCAGTGCTTTAGTGGCGATCTCAGGATATTCAGCCTTGATTTCAATCCAAACACCAGCAGAGTTGTTGTCTCAAACACACTTTTAAGACCACCGTCATTTACAATCTCCAGCAGCTGATCTTCTTTGTCGCCACATATACAGAGCGGGTTTGGCGCGTCAGAATTACTCCTGATGTTTAATCAGACTCCTGATATTGTCTGTTAAATGAAGCTTTCATTTTCTTGGAAGTTAAAGGCAATTTTTTTGTCTCCTTAGTGGCCTTTCCCTCTTTGCAAAGAAGCTCTCCAAAAGTTATTTACTCATTTTCGCTAGTTTGCAGTCTTAATTTTTGAGGTAACGTATCACGTGACCGAGACAAGCGTCTTGACATGTGTCAGAGGCACAGGCGGATGAAATTGCGAGAGAATCCGGTCACTTTTCAAAATAAAACTTCTTTCAGACTCTGATAATCAATAAAACGGAAATAATATAATATTTATTCTTTCTGTGCGGCCCGGTACCAAATGATCCACGGCCCAGTACCGGTCCGCGGCTCGGTGGTTGGGGACCACTGATCTAAAGGGCTTTTACTGACACTTGTCTCTTACCCGGTTGTATGAAGCACAGTTGGAGAAAATGAGCTGGACGTCGGTCACAAACTCTCCAACGGTCTGGTAGAGATTCTTCTGGAGTTTGTCTGCTATATGACCCAGCCACATCGGAGTCTGGATCACGGTGGAGTAGCCATTCAACTGAGGATGCCAAGCAGCAAATGAATGAGGTACTCAACGCTGTGCAACACCTTTATCATTTGTTTACATCAGTTCCAGATTTGCATAAGTAAAGATGGAAGAAGGATTACAAAGTGTGTGCTCATTTGTAAATAATTATAACAATCCACATTTAGAAGCTGGTACTCTATTCATAGAGCAAGTCACCGCATTTTCCAGAACACTGCCCTGCAAATGTTTCAGAATAAAAGCCTTGTGTTCGCTAATTACGGGATTATGGCCACAGAAAGACGCTAGAGGGCTTTTATTTTGAAACAAGAAGTTAAAAATAAGGGTGGCATGTCTGTGACATGTCCTTCAGGTATATAAATCAAAACTGTAGCAATGTTGCTGATATGATGACAATATATACTGTCAAAAGATAATTTTCACTGTGCATTTTTACTGTGAACATCAAGCGGAAAAATATGCGAGACCCCAAATCTCTAGAGGAGACGGAGCTAAAGCCGGCAGTGTGCCCTCTTCTAACCTGTTAATAGTTGAGGGCACTTTGACAGCTATACATTTAATTGATTGACACTATTTGTCACGAATAGCAAGGCAGCTAACCAGTGCATGGGAACGGCAGAGAGAAAGACTTACATAGAGGCATGGGTTCGCAGCAAATGTGTGTTCCTCATCAGCACTGCACAGACACAGAAGGAGATACTGGCATTGCTGTTGATGTAAGGGAAAAAGGGATGAGTGACGGCGGTGTGACAGATGGACAGGTTCAGCTTTAGTGGGAGTCAGTATTTACGCATACACAGAATCTGACTCCGGTATATATAAAAACAGGGACAACAAAGCTGGACAAAGACGAACAAACATGTTTTACCTTTGTTCATTGTTTTTCATTATGCTATAAAGACAGAGTCACACAGTTTACTCACCAGTATGCGTTTGGATATTTGGCACAACATGGTTGCTTCTCTTTCCAGCTCCTCAGAGTATAAATACACTCGACTTTTTCTGAATATGCAGAATGTACACATCCACAGGCCATTGTCCCTGCTCACACACACACACACACA